AGCAGCTCGACGCGTCCGGATGGGTTCAGCTGTAAGCCGAACCACTCGAACACCGCCTCCTTGTCGAGCTGAGCCGCTCCGGTGCCCGTCTCCCGATCGGATCCGTTAACAGAATTCAAGTCGCATCGGTGATTTTCGCCTCCCGCCGCTCGCAGCTTCATCTTCATCATTATCAGCTCTCATACACGAACATCAGAGATGGAAGTCCATGGATGGTACTTTCTGGCCAATATTTCGGCATCAAAACGCGATGAAGTTCCCGATTTGGGGCGGAATTTCGTTGAAAAAAATGATCTGTCTGTAGTCAGACGGTGTGGCTGTGGTCAGTTTGCCAGATTACTCGCCTGCCGTGCCTCCAGAATATCCTGTCAATCATCTGTGACTCCACCCCCTCGTCATATGAGTCGCAGGGTCCTAAACTCACCAGCTCGAAATATATATTTTATGGACTGACAAAATATAACAAATATATAAACAATTAAGTACATTAATTATGAATTTAATAAAATACGATTAAATAATTGCATAATTAATTAAATATGTCACGAAATTCAAGTTTTCAAATATTTATCATATTCAAATTACCCTCAATTTTTATTTATCAATTCAAATATTTATCATATTGGTGATAAATAACTTATTTATCACCCTAAATCCTAGTACATCCCTACAACTTTATTTTATTTTATTATATTCCTATTCTATCTATAGCACACCTGTACTACAATTTATTCTTTTTTTGTGGTTTATATTTACGCATGTGTATTTTATTCACATCTTATTTTTATTATCTGTGTGTTGTTGTTGTCGTCTCCATGTACTGGAAGCTTGTGACACTATAACAAATTCCTTGTATGCGCAAACATACTTGGCAATAAAGCTCTTTCTGATTCTGAAATATATTAAAGGGTTTAACGGTGCTATAATCATAAACTCGAGTGGCCTTGTGCTTTATATAAAATGATAGGGCTGGGTAAAAAAAATATTGATATCTCGATATTAATCGATTCTCATTTTTACGGAACGATATCGATTCCTAAATCCCAAGAATCGATTAGTCTAGCCTGTTTTCAGTTAATGGACGGAATATTGAAGGGTAGGCCTACTTCCCATCCAATAAATCGCAATAACCATTGTGCTTTGGCACTTTAAATATGAAACAAAGTCTCAGATTTCAAATTCTGTCCATTGTATTGCAATATTTAAACAATAAATGCCGTTTTGGCGCTGTTTAATGAGGAGTGACAGATCGCTGTAGCGCCTCAGTTCAACAGACGCGGCAGCGCGAGGCGCACATGAGCTGATCATCTCCTCCACATTAATACCAGTTTCAGCACAAAATAAACATGACTAAACATCCGAAGGTAAGTTAAAAGTCTCATGTAATCGCTCAATCTGTGTTTCAGCCGTGCAAAGACGCCAATATAACGGCTACGTCACATAAAGTCACATTTACCTCAGAAAAAAACATATTTGGTGACCATAAACTCATTAGTCAGACAGAAAAATAAACTGTTGAGAGGGGCATTTTATATTTACCATAACATATTCATTATAATTTTTTACTGTTCTTCAATGTTTAATTTATATTTGAATAAATCCATCAAGTTTTTATGACAGCCACCATTTAAATGTTTATATATAAAAAAAAAACGAATTGAAGTAGAAATATTAATATGCAACTGTAACTTTCTTATTGTAATGTAATGTAATTTTAACCTTCAATATTATAGTAATGTTGTACCAACTGACTCTCATGTATATTTTACATTAGTTGAGAGATTTTTTTCCTTGAGAAAATTTGGCATGATCTGTAGCCTACCTGATATATATCCAAAATAATCGGCATTGAATCGGATCGAATCGAATTGGTAATTGAATCAAATCGCAAGCTTGTGAATTAGAATCGAATCGAATCGTGAAATCTGTGTCAAAACCCAGCCCTATAAAATGACTTCTAGAAATATGATATATATAAGACACTAGTTAATTTAATTACATTTATTTATGACAACAACAAAAAAAAGCGCAATAAAATAATTCTTCCGACAAATTACATAGTTCCATAGTGGCATACGCTCATTAATACATTATTCAATTAACCTCGACTCATGTCACGTTTAAGTGTTTTGTGTTAGATACTTGCTACTAGCAATGCTGTTTTTACACTTGACATAAAATGCTCAATATGTAACAAATGATTATAGATAACAAGCTGCTAAACAAGGACTATAATACAAGAAGGGTGTGAGTTAGTATCTAACGAATCTAACAACCATTGTAGTCCTTTATATACAGTGGCTTCAAATGTTTGATGTACAGTGTTGGGGGTAATATATTACAAGTAATGCGAGTTACGTAATCAGATTACTTTTTTCAAGTAACTAGTAAAGTAACGCATTACTTTTTTAATTTACAAGAAAATATCTGAGTTACTTTTTAAAAAAAGTAATGCCAGTTACTTTGTTTTCCCATTTATTGACTGACAGCTCTCCTGTCCCCGTATTGGGAGAAATCGGGAGTACAGAGGCGTTGTATGCGCTGTGTGAACATGATGTTACTGTAGTTCTAGACTAAATGTGAATGTGCATTAATTCATCCCACTCACAAAAAACAGATTTAGTATTCATCAAAATGAATTAAAACAGTGAAATGCAAACTCAGAATATGACGCAAACCTGCAATAATTAAATATGTTAAATAACACAAATGTATCTGTATTTTATTAACCAATATCTTTGCTGCTGACCTTTGATGATCCAGTTCAACCATACTAATAAGCAAAAATGACTTTAGAGAAACTAACAATTATGCTTTGTTTTTTTATTGCTGAAGAGTGTTTCTTCTCCTGTGTTCTACTGTACAGACGTGAATTTACTTTTGCTTCAGCCTGAGGTTTATTCATTACACTTTTTGGTGTGAAAGGGCTTTTATATTTGCTATAAGTAGAACTTCTTATATTAAAAACAATCAAGCCCTGCTTATATTTAAAAAGTAACGCGAAAGTAACGCAAAAGTAATATAACGCATTACTTTCCATAAAAAGTAACTAAGTAACGTAATTAGTTACTTTTTTATGGAGTAACGCAATATTGTAATGCATTACTTTTAAAAGTAACTTTCCCCAACACTGTTGATGTATATGACTGTGTAGTTGCGCCTCTTCAAATTATGTAAACCACAAGCTTGTTTTACTCATAAATCGAAAACCCCGAAGGAAATGGTGAGTTAATGTTGGCCTACAAGCGATGACGTCACGACAAGATGACGTTTTCAATCTCATGTGAGTGTATATTATGTAAAGCATATTTTTATGCACTTTTCAGTGTATTCGAGTAAATATGAGGGAAACATTTTTATTTTAATTTGTGAACTGATTGCAGTACCAGCATGACCCACTAGAGGTTCCCCAGACCCGAATTTAAGAACGCACGTGTGGGAAACCCTAGTTGTACTCAGTGTAAAGACCATTATATCCTTCAGAGGGCGACATTGTATAGCCGTGACATGATGCATATATTTCAACAAGCACTCTGCTTCACTAAGTTTTCAGGAACATGTAGAGTTAACGTTCAGCAAATATCATAACCAACCTCCCCAATACCACCATTTCCTTTCATATATTTTAGGACAAGCAGAAACTTTTCTCTTTCTTGAGATGCATGCCGCCTTTATTCCCACTGCTTTTCCACCCCGGATCCTCCACACAACAAATGTATCGTATTTCAGCATCATTACATCATATTAAAAACACTACACACCATTAAACTAAACTCACATGCTTCAGTTCACTTGTTTATGTCTCCTCTATTTTTGTCTAATGTGATTCCTCTTGTAACTGGAGGGGCCCACCTTTGATCCAAAATAGCTGTGCTAATATATAAATGTGTTTGAACAGCGGATATGTGTACAAGTCTGTGGTGTATAAATATATACAGCGGGACGTTTAGCAAAGCAACTCACAGGTTATTCCTTCCTCAGGTACTAATGTGGTTGGATGTGTTACTTTCTTTCTAAACATCTTTTTATTCATAAACAGGCCAATGGAGAATGATGGTGGTCCCTGAGGAGTTATTTCACAGTATTAGGATTCAATAGAAGGTGCCAACATCTGTGTTTAAGTATCTGGCCTAAACGGATGGAAACAAACTCTGTGCTACTGGAAGAATAAAGGCATAGTCTTCACTGTAACACAAAAGACATTGCACAGACAAGATGTTAATGTAACTCAATGCATGACGGCAGAGAAAATAAAGACTTTTTGGACTGCGTTATTTGTGGAATGGGCCTTGGGATTGGAGGCTCGGAGCCATTTGGCTTGACTTTCTTTGAAGATGGTTTTGTGGAGGGTTAAACCCGTACTCCTCCCTCTCTCTGATGCCTGTCGCTCTTTCATTCTGCCCAGGAAAGGCTGTACGTCACTGTGGGTGCAGATATAAAATAGTCTTTGGCTGTATCTTGCCATCTGCACACTGCTTCTGTAGCACTGGACTGTAATTCATGTCAGTGATGAGAGCATTTTTAGCTCTTGTCTTGTAACGTGTTGGTGGCGACGTGTTGGTGTTTAAACTTGTGGATATCCAGGATTCACATTGCTGGTGAGAGAATAGTTTATTATTTTAGTGTTTTTTTGTTTTGTTTGTTTACTTGTTTATAGGAATATTTGATGTGTTCTCAGTTTAACTTTTCTAAGGGCCATGGTGTTATGTTAAGGGCCATATGTAATCATGGCAACAATATGTTTTGGATGCATTTGTTAAAATAACTTATCAAAATTGGTGTTATCATTTGTTCATTGAATCATGGTACTACTAAAGTACCTATTTGTATGTGCAAATTCAGAATTTTAAATAATAAGTAAATAACTAAATTATATATTATTTATATATAATTATGTATGATATATTTAGATGTATAGATAGATGTAGATAATTAACACAAATTTTAATATTTCTTTCCAGGCATTTTCTAACTGCTGCTTGGCTTCGTGTTGCTATACCATGCGGACATGGATGTTTTCTTCACTGATTGTTTGTGTTTTGTTGCCGCACATCAGTGGATTCCAGCAAGAGGACACTCAAGCTGGTTTGTCATCTTAGTCTTGTACTTTATAATGTATTAGTCAAATGGTTTAAACCATTGAACATGTTAACAGTATAAAGCAACACTCTTAAGGCATTCCTGTAGCTCAAACAGTAGAGCATGGCACTAGCAACGCCAAGGTCATGGGTTTAATTTTCAGGGAATGCATGAACTGGTAAAACCTTAAAAGCAATGTAAATCTCTTTGGAATTAATGCATCTGCCAAATGCATAAATGTAAATGAATACACTTGAGAAAATAACTTTTGTAATACGTATTCAGTCATTCTTGTGTAATTCGAGCATTTAGTTGAGATGCCAGGCAAAAAGTGGACCAATGTACCTGACTTTACTCTACATTTGTTCAAGAATTGTAACCGAGCTTGGTCTGCATGTGGACCCTATGGGCAAATGTTTTCCTGGGCTTGCAGGTTGCAGCACAACTCCCAATGACCTTGCGTTCATCATCGATGGGTCCTCGAGCTTGGGGATCCCTAATTTTGAAACTGCCAAGCGTTGGCTCATCAACATCACCAGTGGCTTTGACGTGAGCACCAGGCACACTCAGGTAGCAGTTGTCCAGTACAGTGACACCCCTCGACTGGAGATTCCTCTGGGAAAGCATGAGAACAGCCAGGAACTCATCGAGGACATCACCTCCATCTCATACCTGGGGGGCAACACACGGACCGGCCGTGCCATCAAGTTCGCCACAGACCATGTCTTCGGGATGCCTAACCGCACATCCCAGTCTCCCAGAAACCGCATCGCCGTGGTTCTCACCGATGGGCGTTCTCAGGATGACGTTGAGGATGCAGCCATGGAGGCCAGGGCACAGAATATTGTTCTGTTTGCAGTCGGTGTAGGAAATGAGATCACTAACTCTGAGTTGGTGTCTGTGGCCAACAAGCCACCTTCAACTTACGTGCTACACGTGGAGGATTATAACTCCATTGCAAACATATGGGACCTGATGGAGCAGAAACTGTGTGAGGGTGAGTCGTGCTAGACTTTGGAGCATATTTTTGTCTAGGACCAGTGACATTAGAGACATTACATGGATGTAATCTTTGGGGCCCAATGCATCTGTTTAATCCTGAAGATAAACTGTTGGTCATCATTAGCAATGACTAAGCAAAGAATATTAAGTGACAAGATACTTACAGACCTTTGGAAATTCAATCTTTGGACTGGTGTCTGTTTAATGCTATATGGTTAAGCACTGGCATCTATTTCCAGTTGTTTCATTGAGTGTATGCTAATTTGTTATCTTTTTTATTGCTCAAATTCAGACTTTTACAGATCAACTTTGTCTCAGATGTTTCTCCTCCCTTAGGAGGAATACAAATGAGATAGCAGTTCAGATTTGGTCTGTATTTACATTCGATGAGTTTGTATCTGTTATCTTCATATCTAATGAGATCACTGACTTTTGATTGCAGACTTTGGTGTCTTGGCAAATAAGAGCACAGTTTTGAGATTTTGTTGCGATCTCTTTTGAAAAACTTAGAATCTGGTAATTTAAGTGTTCATTTGCTTTCTATTTTATCTCATTGCTGTCTATGAGAAACAACTGAGATTTCAAAAGATTTCTTATTCGGTTTTTATTTTCTGGTGATCTAAACACACTTTGATTCAAAGCATTACACAACAGTTGAAGTGCAACTGAAATGTTTGTGAATTGAGCAATTACATTCTCTCATTCGCAGAGTCGGTGTGTCCGACACGGATCCCTGGGACGGTGAACGATCAGAAGGGCTTTGATTTAATGAGCCTGATGAAGATCGAGCAGGTGGCTCAGAAGGTTCAGGGCTCTTTGATGTCAGAGAGAGCGTCACAGCTCAGCCCTCGTATGGACATCACCCACAACACCAGGTGATTTTTGCTTTACCGCATCTATAGTTCATGATATGCACTGCATTGTTTGTGTTCTTGCACATGTTGAAGTGTTAGAATTATGTAAATTGTTGTGGTTGGAGAATTCAGGCTACTTTGACCTTCACTTGGTGTTCCTCACAGAGAGATCTTTCCAGAAGGCCTTCCACCAGCTTTTGTGTTTGTGGCCACTCTGCGCTTGAAGAACCCAGCTCACTGGATGAAGTTTGACCTGTTAAGAGTGTTATCTCAAGACGGGGTTAAGCAGATTGCTGTGACTGTGAACGGAGCAGACAAATCGGTCACTTTCACCTGCACCAGCACTCTGAAGAAAGAGCAGACAGTCATATTTAATGACCGAGGCATCAAGGTCTCTGAAATATCACTCTTAAATCTCATAAAAAAATAAAAAAAAAACATTGGCTGTTGGCGCCGATAGCCTTGTGGGCAGCGTGCCGACATGTAGCACTGTTGCGCTTCGAGCGTCCCGAGTTCGAGTCCCGGCTTGCGGACCTCGCCCAATCTCGTTCCCCTTGACTCTCCCACATCATTTCCTGTCACCTACTGTCCTATTGAAATAAAGGCATAAAATGCCAAAAGTAAATCTTTAAAAAAACAAAAAAACATTGGCTGCATCCCAATTCACTGATATCTGTGCTAAACAGTATGCAAGATTAGAATGATTGCATCCCATATCCCATAGTGTGTTGCTATTATTAAAATGTCTATACAATAAGAATATCAATGTGTATGTGTTTATGTCTTTTGCTAATATGATTTATGTCCCTGTAGAGGCTCTTTGACACGGATTGGCATCAGCTGAAGTTCCTGGTGAAGCCCAAACGCATCACTTGTTTCGTAGACGGTGCATACGTGGAGGAGCAGCTCCTAGATGCAGTTGTTCCCATCTACATTAATGGAAAGACTCAAGTCGCCAAGAAAATTAATATTGAGACTACAGTCCCTGTGAGTGATTCCAATGTTTTATTGCTATTTTCGACTCCTGCCTGATCACAAGTTTATATGTACCAAACTAAGTGAAACTTGGAAGACTGATCGTTTGCTACCACAAAAATCCAGATCATAAAATTTCTGTTGTGTTTTGTGTTTCTTTATCAGATAGTGCTGCAGAAGTTGCGGATCTACTGTGATCCCCAGCAAAGTGAGCGAGAGACAGCATGTGAAATTTACTCTGTGGTAAGACTGGTTTGCTGTTGGTCTTGCTAGCCAAGTTGTTCACCATCAAAAGCTAGTTTGTGTCGACCAGCATGGTGTTTCTATTTTTTTTTAGAGAATGTTGATACAGAAACATCTTGTCACGTCTTGTATAAATCATGTTATCTGCTTCCAGGGATTTCCTTCCCACTTTAATTTATCTTTCTCTGTTTGTTTTTTTAACAGGATGATGACAGGGTAAGTTACCAGCATTACTATTCTTGCTTTTTAAAATGTTTAATTTGATTGGTGATTGGTTTAGTTTATGCTTTATGTGCAATGTGTTATATTCCCAGTGTCCTTCGGATCGCTCTCCTGCTGTAGAAGGTTGCGATTGTCCAAGTGGTAAACCTGGTCTTCCCGGTCTACCTGGGCCTATGGTGAGACATTTTTTTAAAACTATGCATTCTAATGGATTGGCAGGCAAACTTGCTGGGGTCTTTTGCTTGTTTGGGACATCTGATTAAAACACATATTTAACTAATTGTTTGAATGTAGGGTTTCAGAGGGGAGAAAGGCAGAGAAGGACCTCCTGGCCCTGATGGTAAACCTGTAAGTACAGCCGAATCATTAGTGGCGTTCATCATAAGGTTTGGACGTGTGTAATCACCATGATCTGTTTGTCCACCAGGGGAAACCAGGAGAAAAGGGAGCATCTGGAGAGCCTGGTCGAGATGGACAGAAAGTGAGTGAAACATCAAGAACATTCTCTGATAACCTCAAAGCTTTACGTTAATATTTTATTCTTCCATTTACAGGGTGAAGCAGGTGAACCAGGACAAAAGGGGGAGCGAGGGCTGGAAGGACCCAAAGTATGTAGATTTTGAGATTTTCATTGTCATTGAAATTATAAATATATATTGGCTTGCATAATTCTTCCCCCAATCTTTTAATAGGGAGAAATGGGACCACCAGGGCCTTCAGGACCAACAGTGAGTCTCAATCTTTCTGATCAATTAATCTGAATTTTTCTGTTGTTATGTTTAAAGTGTTTATGTGCAAAAAGTTTCTCTTTAGTAAGCAAAAACTACAATGACTGAAATCATTCCCTTAAAATCTCTTCTAGGGCACTGGCTTTTCCAAATTGGATTTAGATGACTTGGGAATTCAAGGAAGCAAGGTAAAACACAATACATCCTATTAAATCTATTGAAAATGACTGGAAATGATTACCAAACATTTTTTTTTAATGCAAACTATTGTGACCTTACAGGGAATCCCAGGAGAACCAGGGGAAATGGGGCCACCCGGAAAACCTGGAATGAATGTAAGAAATCTACTTTTAGCATCTACTTATGAATGTTCAGTACTGTTCATTGATGATCATTAACAGTTTTATCCCACTTTACAGTATTCTATTTTAAATTAAAGTAAAAAAAAAAAAAAAAAGGTCTTTAAAAAGTCTTTAATTAAAGAAGGTCTTCTTTATTCTCTTTACTCTGCAGGGAGAACCTGGGAAACCTGGTCTACCTGGACTTGCTGGTCCCAAGGTAAGACTCATCCTGACTCATCCAAAACTCTGATAATTCAACTACCACTACTCCTGTAATCATAATTAATCACAACCAGGGATGCTTTTCTAGACCCTGTGGGGATGGAGGCATATTAAAAGCAGCTTTTAAAAAGGCAGCAGCCTCCAACCCCGTTTTTTCTTCTTTCCAGTACAAATATCTAAACAATTATAGATCAATATACATTTACATGAGTAGCAAGATGACTTAAGAAGACTTGTTTTCTGATAGATTTGTCGAAGTTAAGTGAGTTTATGCTTAAATGAGAACAAAAATACCTGCCAATGGTGTAGAAACATAAACTTGCTTTTCTTTTGGATTAAGATATTTCTTAGCCCATTGGAATACATTTTGTCTTGTTTCAAGCAGAAGCCCACTTTATTGTGATAAGTTCATCATAAATTTATCTTACATCTCTATGCTTTTAAAGCGAATGTCTCTTGATTTAAGAATGCTTAGATGATTTGTAAATCACTGGCTTTGGTTCCATAGGAAGGAAATGCTACTATACATCAGAACCTTGCCATTTTCAATCAGCACTGCTTGTTTTCTGTCAGCTGTGCATGAGAAAGAATTCACTTCCTGTGTCAATACAATAGAAAATAATGCACTTTTTTTGTGGCGTATATTTTTAGGGAAACCCCACCCATTATATATTTGATCCTGTACCCCATGAATCTAAGTGATTTTCATGACTTCTGTCTTGTTTTTGAAGTTCATGAGAATCCGTGGAGTTGTTTTCCTGTACTAGCACACAACATAGGCAGGCAACCCTAGACAGTTTCACCTTCACACCCAGAATTTTGAAGTATTTAAAGCAGCACAGGGTGTAAACCATCAGATGTGTTAGGGATACTATCAGACATCCTCTCACATGAGAAAGTCCTGGATTATTTTAAGCACAAGGGCATATTTGTGGCCTTGTTGTCTATCCTTTTTATCCGCCTCTCTAACATTTTTCTTAGCTTTTTGCCAGCAGCAGACTGTCGTCTTGCCCAAAGGTCTATGTATAGCGACTTAAACACCCAGATTACGATGGGCCAATGACACAGTACACATCATGAGCTGCTCTCTGCTCTAGATGAATATAAGGTCACATGCCAGCCAAATTACTATGTGCTGGTTACATATTACATCAGCTAAGATTTAGCGTTAGTGTAGTTGAATACTGTGGTATAATGATAAATAACAGATGAATGTTGCTTTATGAAGTTCATGTATCGTGGCAAAGCTCATTTTCACCAGGATGTTGACACTTCATAAAAATAAACTAGCACCTAGCAATAATATTTGGGAATGCCACCATGAATATTAAAAACACATTCGATGAATCTTGTACACTTCTAGTGTTGTAGGTCAACCCAGATGAGATCTTTAGTGCTCAGATGTTGCTCTTTTATAGCTCATGAGACTTCCTAAACACACTCTTTTCAGGAATTTTCACTTACCATCAACTTTGTCTCAGATATTTCTCTTTGAGTGTCTTGATAGATATGACAATAGAAACAAATGAACTGTTGATGAGTGGTGATAATTTGGTAATTTAGATAATTTAGTTTTAGAATAATTTGTTGAGCTCATATAGAGATCTATAACGTCTGATTGCAGTTTGAGACATTTTTGGAAAATGTATATAATATTTATTATTATGATTATAATATACTGCAGTGTGGTTTGAGCAAATGAGTTGAGTTTTTTAGACATAAATTGGGAGTCTGTCACTCAGATCTATTTTCAGGATACTGCATCTGTCTCAGCATCTGCGTGCCACCCGTTCTCTGAAAATTAGTGCCGCCCTGCCATTTACTGCCCCATTAAATCAAGCCTGTTTATCAGTACAGGGCTTTGATTTGACTCTTGGCGACACTCGATGTTTGTTCAGGTTTGGATGTGGCTTGGTTTGAAAGATGTGACATTTAGATTTTGTTCCACAAAGCTATAAAATAACCTTTAAAGCATTGGAAACACGTTTGTTTATGTTCACTGAAATGATCTAACTTATACAAAATGATTTATAGAATCTTTAACATCCTTTTTTCAGTGCTCACTCTTGCTTAAATTAATGATACTTTGGTTTTTTGATAGATTATTGTTAAATTGAAATGATGCAAATCTCTTTAAGCACTAGAACTGTGCAGTCTGTAGCATTTAAGCTTTGTAAACTCGTTGTTGCTCTATTGTGCATTTTAGAACTTTGATAAGAAACTGTCTTCCAGTTGTACGCTTATACATTCATAAAGGGCCATGGCTAGCATAGCATGAGACTTGAAAATTGGACAGGATCGGTATTATCATGTTTGCTAGTTTTCGTTATTAAGTCCCGGCCTTCCCACTTTGGATCTGAGACAGAATTGCTCGCTTTAGCGGTAACACCAGGTTTCCCCAGACCACTAAGGGATGATTAGTTAACCAAAACTCGGTTTCATGTGGTCTGCCAGAAGAGAGCTCCCTCGTAAGGGTGGGTTTCCCGCAGCACAAGTGGTGCCGCCAACCCTGGAAACAGCCTTTAATCATGACATGCAGACATACATGCATATGGACTGTTAAAAGAAACTGAAACACACAGACCCCAGAACCCAAGAACAACTTGTGACTACGTTGATTATGAGTTTATTTGAATCGAAATGGGTCATTACTTACGTTTCACCTGCATCAAACGTTCAGTGCACGCACAAAAACTGCCTCCAAACGGTTAAAAGAGATGTGGAATCTCATAAATTCCTTTTAATTGGCCTTCTCCTGGATATAATTGCAGAGCGACGGTATAAGGTACAATTATTGTTTGTCATGTTTCGAAAGCATGCTTTGTGTGAGGTCTTTTCAAATGTCAGAGCTTCAGGGTAAAGTCTATATGTGCATGTATTTAAGTGAGTACAGTAAGAGAACGCCTGGGAGATAAACTGTTATTTGACCAAACATTTTATAATATACAGACTAGCCCATGCATTTTACATTAAAACTAAGCACGTTTTATTAGGACTGTGTTCAGAATTGAATACTAGCATACTGCACAGTAGTGCTTGTTTAAAAAAAAATATATAATATGCTACTTTAACGCATGACCTCGCTACATTGTTGGTTAAATTCAGAAAGAATTAATATCATCTCAGAAATAAAACACATTGTCATTCATTTTCAGATCAGTGAGGCCTACGATCAATCAGTTCCAAAATAAAATACAAAACCGAAATACAAAACCTGTGCTAACTGAAATAAAACAAGATGACAAAAAAAAAGATTGATTTCAATAAATGGAAAAACTATAGCATAACAAGAACTTTGTAAGCAATTTTTTGTGGGTCGGCCATTTTTTGTTTCACCCTGTGTGAGCAAAGTCACTAATTTTTAGTCCAATGCGATAACTTTAACTAGTATTTTCGTGGGGGAAAAAAACCTCTCTAGGTCAAAATGACTGGAAAACATCATGAGGGTTAAAGTATTTTATTATTTGCATGGCTACAAAAATCAAAGAAAATTCAAATGTACAGTTCACAAAATTCACAGTATGCATACTGCGTGTGCACATAAATAATATTAGCCTGCTACCCTACAAAGCCAAAACTACTACTGGAAATGGCAAAAAATAAAATGTCTTAAATGTTTTTTCCCACCCTTTATTTAAATATTAGTACTATTCACACACTTTTTCCCTCTAACTTTGTAAATCATAGCCTAAGAGAGGCGATTTTAGACTAAATGTGTAGTTACACTGTTTGCCTTTGTATGGCAGTGTGGTACAGCAGTGTGTTTTTCTGAACATATCCCATGCCCCATGCAAAATGTGGGATGTTACATATTTTCTGTCAGGTGTGTTTCACCATACACAAATTACATGCACATGTAACCAGGAACATGCTATTTTTGAATTCACATGATGGCCAGCCACAGCCCAGCATCTCGGGAAAGGAGGACATCTCTTACCAGCATTCCCACATGTGCATGGCTTGTAATTTAGCACTTCAGAAAGTGCAAAAAAGTCTTTAGATAAGCTCCCTTTACAGTTAGGTGTAACATGTTTAGATTTTAATGACAGACTGTCTCAAATTTCATACTTACTTTACAATTAAGATGCGTGCATATTTAACTTCTCAGTGCTTAATTTCTCTTCATGTAATTAGTATGTAAAAAAAATGTAACCCAAATTGGAACTGCAGAACTCTAATTATATCTGCAATTAGTGGAATGTACCATGATTATTTAAGGCAAAGTGATACTCTTTACCTACAGCTTACCACATTTCCCGTTTCTAAAAATATGTGTGATACTGTATGTGTGAACTATTCAAAAGAAAAAAATGGTTTAGAATATCTTTAAAAATCAGTAAATGTGTGATAGTTTCTTCTTTTGATTCTGAGGTGCAATATGTGTTTCTAACCAATTTTATTTTATTTTTTTATTTAGGGAGAGAAAGGAGATGTTGGTGCGGCAGCATCAGATGGACAAGCAGGAATCCCTGTGAGTTTATTTTTTCATCTTATTGTTTTTTGTGTTCCTTGTTCTTTTTTTCCACCTCAGTTTTAGTTCTTTAGGTTTAGTTAAAAAACTTCAGTTGCTTTGAAAATATAGTTTTCTATAGAATAATTTCTATAGAAATGATAGAAAACATTCAGTTTGATTGGTAAGGCATCAAACATCTGCGGCCACAATGTCATGAACCAATAAAATTCTAGTTCAGTTTTTAGGAATATATCAACTGCTTTTCTGTGAAGCTTTTGCAGTCGAACTCCATTCTGGAAACTTTGCTTTGAAGTCACTTCCATTTCATTTTCATGACTTATTTCAAGCTCTAGTTCACAGGTTGGCTCGATTTAGACTTTCTGTTGATTTATGATGTTGACATATTTAATCACATATTTATGTGATGAGATTGACTGGGTCATAGTGAAAGGGCACTATGTAGAGTTTATTGTGTGATGTTTCTGGTGGAAGGGATCCTGTCAAATGGTTTGCTGGGAGCCCTACAGATTTGTGGTGTGCTGCTAACTCTAGATTTGGAAATGATGAAACCACAGTGTTTACTAATCCCAGAATACATCACTGAGATGTAGAGTAGCAGATGATACACGTATATAGTCAACATCAGCTCTGTTTATGCTCTAGATGTTGTTTAAAGTCATCCTGCTTCATTACCAAGCACGCACATGTAAAAACTGCAACTCTGACTATGAGGAAGGAAAACACTTCTTTAACGCAACAGACAAAGCCTTAGTCAGTCTTATTTCAAAATGCCTCAGAAGCTGAGACAGACTCATTTTGAGGCCTCTATAGGGTCCAAGTCGAAAAGCTAACAAAAACGTATTGTTTTACATAAGGTTTTTTTTATTCTTACTCTTTTTTCTTTTTTTTTAACCACTGGTTTTAAATTTGAAAGGCCAGGCCTGCTGACCCAAGTTGCTTTTAAGTGTTGCTTTTTTAGTGAAATATTGAAAATATTCTTTGTTTGATCTCCTTAATTGATTAGCTCAAATTAATTCATGAAACTGCAACTTGAAACAACAGCGATGTGCCAGTTTGTTCTTTAAACTAAAAGATGCAATGGATGTCTTTGTTGTCTTTGATGTCAAAATGTCTTTGTTCTCATCTTAACTTGTATCTTGCACATGAGATGGGCAGGAAGAGCATGACATTAACTGCTGATGATCTGCAAAGTTTCATGATCGCGGGTTGCAAGGGTGTCACTTCTGGAGAATGAGATCATGATTTCTGATTTCTGCATTCTTTTATTAGCAGCTTCTTTGTAAGGCGAGCATCACTTGTCACACAATTCCTCTGCATTTTGCTTATTCTTCCTGTCAGTGATATGAACATAGCCCTTTTTTTTATCTTGCTGCTATATATTTCAGCATGAGGAGTGTTGGTAGATGGTTTCAATCCAAAGCTAATTTAAAGTGACTTCAGATTGTTTATGCTTTTAACTAAAGTCAGTTTTCATTTTTATTTCAGCTAATGACTTGAAGTGATGTGGTTTAGGCCTCAGTGTAAATATTTAGATATCCTTGGCTTAGTTTGATATAGTAAGTGCTCCCTTTTGGGGTAACGTTTTGGCAAGCACACAATTCTTCCCAGTTCCAAGCCCAGATGTTGAGAGCAGCCCTATGGAAACTTTTAGGAAGACATCTGTCTAGTGTCATGTGATTAATATAACAGTTAATACACCCCTCCCTCTTTTTGAGGTTGTGGTGAACCTCTGAATGTTCTCATTTCTCGTTCTTTCCTGCAGAACCGTTTTATTTTGGACGATTCGTGCACACAGAGCAGGTGGAGACAGCGGTATTTTTTTAGTAACCGATTCCTTAATGTCAATAAATTCTCTAGTGCACTCACTAGAGGTCAGCTGGTTTTCTGCACGTCTCCATTTCCTTCTGTCTGTCTCTCTATCTCTGCAATCTCTTTTATGTCTGTTGCAACATGCACTGTATGGAAACTTTGCAGAGGAACATTTGCTGTTTGATTGAAAACTTTTACACTCATTCATTTCACAAGTCGTTTGGGTTGTGCTTCCTGTTTATGGCCAATTAAACTGGCTCATTTGAAAGAAAAATGTACAAGATTATGGGATCCTTGAAATCTGGTGCAGGAAACGGGACGTATCAGCGGTGGATGGTTGTAGGTGTGGTGATTTATGCCTCTCTTTTATCTTTAATCATAAACTCTCATGTAAACTGCTCTAATGAAAGAATACGTGCTTGCCAGTACATTGGATGGGTTACAGTGTGGCTTGGCAATGATACAGAAAGGCAGCACTTGGTAAGTAAACAGGCAATAGTGGCAGTAAAAGGTGCCGCCAGCATGTTAAGCCTGTGTTTCAGACTGGATCCTTTGTAGTTGTGTATTTCAATCACTGTACCAAATCTGTACAGATAGAATGCTTTTTGTGTTTTTCTTTAGGGTATGCAGGGGCTTCCTGGAGAGATAGGCCCTCCTGGACCTCAAGTAAGAACCCAGATTAATCATAAAATATAAAAATGATTAAATATAATAAAATATCATATGTTTCTTAAGCAGCAAATCAGCATATTACAATGATTTCTGAAAGATCATGTGACACTGAAGACTAGAGTAATGATGCTGAAAATGCAGCTTTGCATCACAGAAATAAATTACATTTTAAAACGTATTAAAACAAAAAATGGTTATATTAATTTGTAATAATATTTCATTATATTACAGTTTTTACTGTATTTTTGATCAAATAAATGCAGCCTCTCTGAGCAAAAGAGACTTATTTCAAAAACATTTTAAAAAGGCTTACCTACTCCCAACTTTGGACAGTAGTCATTTGGAGAATATTGATTTTGTCACAGCTTTTGTGCTTTTTTATAACAAAAATGATTTCGACAGGGTGAGCGTGGGATGCCAGGACCGGCAGGTTTTACTGGACCAACAGGACAGCAGGTACAATATCTCATAATTTTACATGCAGTAACTATTTAGGTTGTTTATCAAGGCCTCTAATTTTGAGCAAGATGTCAAGTTTGATTTGTTCTTAAACTAAATCAGGTGGCTATTAAATTATTTTAAGAAATTAGACTTAAGATGATATTAAAGATGCTTAAATAATCTAAACTATTAAAAGAAAGACTCCAACCATACCTGCGAACCAGAATATCATAGAGATTTTGTGGTGTCACACTCTTTGTAACTACCCAGCAACCACCTTGAACATCGTAACAACCATATAGCAACCCACTCATAAAACTTCACCAACCACATAGCGAAACTGTGCCAACCACCCAGAACACCCTAGCTCTGTGGTGATGAGTTTGACACGGGTTGGCACCACTCACGTTTTATTCAGAAAATGTGAAAATCTAGTTTCCAACAGCAGTGGTAAATGATTTATTTTTTAAAGGTGAAGTGCGGCCCAAACCCACGTCATTGGTTAATGTTACCAGGTTCATGTGAAACCAGAACGGTTCGATTTGTACCAAAGTGTTTAAACTTTCTGAGAAATGTACCTACGAATGACTTTCTTATTGTTGTCTTTGCACATTAAAACTGACATAGGCTAAGAAAAACAAATGCACAAAATGTTGATGGTTATCATTGGAAGAGATACGGCAAATGAATATCTTAGGCTTGAATTATTAATGTTTGTCATACTGAAGAGTTGTCTTTAATTCTAGGGACCCCCAGGCCCAGTTGGCCCACCTGGCATAGAAGGTCCTCCAGGTCCAAAAGTAAGTCATCCCAGCTATGTGCAGTTTATTGTATATTTAGCATTCATTTGCATTTTTTGTGAAGTGATAAATACATGAAATGTAAAGAAATGTATTCTTGAATTTTTTTTTCAAAGAAAAATTTATTTAGCAAGGATGCATTAAATTGATCAAAAGTGAAAACAATTTGTATTTTTTTATGTCACGTCTTAGCATTTTATTGAAATGGAGTGAAACCCTTATTTGTTGACAGGGGAATTTTGGCTCTCGCGGACAGGATGGGCTCCCTGGGCCACCTGGTGCTAAAGTGAGTGAGCTAAGGGAGGGGGATTTCCACACATAAAGGTCTGAAAATACCAAAAGGGTCTGGCTGCAGCCTTGCACTTGCACTCTCAGACTTGCATTCTCAGACTTGCACTCTCAGACACTTGCACTTCCGCTAGCGACGTCACTTGCAGTCTTTATTTTTTTATTTTGTTCTATATATTTATTATTTTTGTTTGAATCTCTCAGTGCAAGGCTGCAGCCAGACCCTTCTCCAAAATACGATATTATCTCTTTCAGTGACATACCTGCCACTTCCTCAGCCGGCTTCAGGAAATAACTTTGAATAGCAGATGCTATATTAAGCCTCTATCGAGTCATTATGTTGAGAAACCTTTAATTCACTTTACATAAGTTATACTGGTTGGGAGCCAACAGTTAACAAGTAAAATGCTGAAGACAAAATAGTTATGAGAGGAAGGTTTCTAATGTAGGCCTGCAAAAGCCGAAGCTGAGAGACTTTTCGAGAGTGTGAAAAGGTTGCAATTTTTATTTCATTGCATTTATTTCACCACCTTCCACATTAAGCAGAAAAGTTCTGTTTTAAAGTGTCAGTTCACCCAGAAATGAAAAGTAGTCTGTATTGTGCACTATTCCATATCTTCTAATGCCATACATTAGGTATATGACAAAAACAGACTGAAATGTATACTTAACAAAATTATAAACGCAACACTTTTGTTTTTGCCCCCATTTTTCATGAGCTGAACTCAAAGATTTCGGACTTTTTCTATGTACACAAAAGGCCTATTTCTCTCAAATATTGTCAAAAACAAAAGTGTTGCGTTTTTAATTTTGTTCAGTGTATGTTTTTTTTTTCAATAAGAAATGTCTAGCAGTGATATTGAGTATGCTATGTCTATAATCTAATTAAATGAATCCTGTCATTAAGTATAGTGATGTTGCACAAGAAAACAGTCTATACTGAGATTTATAAGAGTGTGTGTGCATGCATGTATCCACAGGGTTCAGATGGAGAGCACGGCATTCAAGGTCCCCCTGGCATTAGAGGTCTGCCAGGGTTTAAAGGTCATAAGGTACGTCCATCTTCAACCTAAACCTAGCCTGAATTAGCATCTGTCTTGCTTTAGAGGGTTTAATGAAGATGTGCATATACAATGGATGCAATTATACAATAGGTTGCATTAGAAATAGTCAATAATCGAAAAAGAAAAAAATGTAGGATGTGGACTTGGTTCTGTGCATCAGTTGTGTGAATTTGAGATGTGGACGTTGCACTTGCAGTTTAAGCAGAATAATACTGTATGTCACAAGAAGTCTGTGGTTTTCACTGGAAGATTCAGTTATGATTATAATGTGCATTTATAAAATAGATAGGGTGAATTTTCGTTTGACATCACAAATTCACTAAAATTCACAGAATTCTGTCTTTTTTCCCTCTCTTTCAACCCTTACTATGTGAATACTACACTCGATTTAATGAACAATATCACATTATTCATTCCAGAAATGTAAATTTTTCCTTCCAAATTCTCACTAGCATTTTTTCACAGCCTATTTTCATGGTGGTGCTTTAAAACTTTAGGTTTCTTCTCTTTTCTTCACTTTGAATCTTTTGCAGTGGGAATGTTTCTTAAGTAGGGAAACACAATAGGCAGATTACTTTATTTTTCAACCAAAAAATGATCAAAAGTGTGGAATTTTAAATGTAAATTCAGTGATTCAATTCACTCAGCAAATGACTGTTTTTGGTTAATGCGACCTCTATGTATGTACTGTACGCTTGTGCACTTTAATGTATTATTAAAAATATTCTTAGTTTCATCACTATTAAATGCCAATTCTCCTACGCTTGTATTTGCAGGGTGACTCAGGATCATCTGGACCAAAGGGAACTCAGGTACCGTGACTGCTTAGTGATGAGCGACAGCTTTGACATTTGATTTCTCACGTCTCTTTACATGGTACTTGAACATAGTTTGTGAGAGAAAGAGAAAAGAGGAAGTAAAAAAAAAAGGTGTTAAACTGCTAGCAAAATTTTTGCTAACAGGAATTCCGACCTACGTAAGACACACACACTACTAATGTTTTTATTCAGCGGTCAGGGTCAAAATGTTGTAAACAAAGTACCACACAACATACCAGCTGGTCCAGGCTGCTTTTACTAGTTAATGCTGATCTAGATCGTGGATAGGCACAATCATGGAAAACAAAAGAAACTGGTTGAGTATGTTATTGCATCTCTCTTGCCAGGGTGAGAAAGGAAACCAGGGAGAACCTGGAGTCACTGGAAAACATGTACGTAACAGTCTTTATGCTTCATTAGTGTTGTTTCTAATGCAAGTGTACTTCTCGTTATGGATTTTAATAAACCCGTAAAACCTACGCATTGAACTTTGAAACCCAACTTGGCCCACAGTGCTTGTGCAATGGAAAGGAAAACATCCCACAGACTTACTTTAAAGAGAGAATCATATCTAGAAACTTGAATATCATACAGAATATCATAAGATTTTCTTTTTTGAAAGAAATGAATGCTTCTGTTCAGCAAGGAGGCTTTAAATTGATCAAAAGCAACAGTAAAGACATTGGCAATGTTACAAAAGATTTCTATTTCAGATAAATCCTGTTCTTCTAAACTTTCTGTTCATCAAAGAACATAATGATAAATGTTTCTTGAGCAGCAAATCAAGACTTCTTTCAAAAACATGAAAAAAATGTACATATGAATGCCTAAATGTGATGTGTGTAAATACAGAGTTCTGGCATGAAACTCTAGATGACACAGTCCGATAGGTCTAACTCAATCTGACCTAATGACCTCATTATCACATGGCACAGCTGATTGGTTCTCTCCTGTATCGGTAGCCAATGAGCTCGCTGCTCAACATTCAAATAT